TGAACACTAAATGGCCACTTTTCACTTCACGAACTTTTTCGTGAACTAAGTTAACGAACAAGTTCATGAACTAGTTCACAATTTGTTCGTGAATAAGTTCATGAACCTTTCACGAACGAATGCATGAACAAGTTCATGAACTTTTCATGAAGTCAAATGGCCATTTAGTCTTCACAAACATTATTCGTGAAGAGTTCACGAAACTTTCATGATGAGTTCCTGAACTTTTCACGAACTCTGCAGCTGTAAAGAAACACAGTTCTGTGCCATTTTCAAAAAAAGAGTGTGTCTAACAATAATTTAACCAGTTAAGGGATGAAACAAGTTGCAACTTGGTTTTGCCAAGAATGATTTAAAGTGCACTTTCAAGACATCTAAAAAAGACAAACAAAAGGTATAAAATACGATCATTTATATTGTCAGCAGTACTTCAAACTCTGACATCAAGTGAGCTAATTAAGGATTGACTGTATATTTGTTTCGGTTCATTGAGGTATAAATCGAAAAACCGATGTGCAAACTGTATGAATCCTCGTGGCGGATTCTTACAAAAGTTTGCACATCGGTTTTTCGATTCATACCTCAATGAACCGAAACAAATATACAGTCAATGCTTATAATTAAATTCGACAACGTAAAACATGTTTAATCTGCAATAGTTTAACCCAAAACAGTTGCATAATATCAAAACAGACAAAAATGACGACATTGATAAACATTCCAGGTGTAGTTATACATACAGTGGCGTGACATGAAACATGTGATCGTTTAATTTATGCACATAACTTGACACGCCTACAGTCAGTAGCCAATCAACGGAGAGTGGGATTAAAATAATGTTCATTGGACCTGTCAATTAAGGCAAGAGGCAAAAAGAACTGCAACAGTCAGACTGTAACGAACCGGAAGAAATATGTCCGAAATATGTCCGAGAGAAGGCGGCTGTTTCAAATAACATGGTCATTTACTGGTCATTTACTGTGTGATTCAAACATTCCTTCCCTGATTACGGTAAAACACAGATGGAGAAATGCTAGTTATAAATGAAACCCGAAGACATGAAAGTTAAACCGAGGCGAGCGGGAAAAAAAACAGTCGAGCGAGCTTGCACGTTTTGCTGTTTCATTCATTCTCGGCCTTCGGTTTCAAAGGGTAGTTTGGACAATGAATATGCATGCAAGTTGCTCAATGTCCTGTGCATGACGATACACTTGAGCAGAAAGGTAATTCCCTCGACTGTAATATTGGGATTCCCCGACATTTTGCAGTAATAAAAGTAGTGCGCCGCGGTGGGCGTGGCTTATTTTTTTACATTCATTAGGAAATGAATGCAATAACACGTGACCAATTCAGCTAATCATACTGCAGGAATTTCCATGAACACAACAAAAAGTTAAGTCACATAAACTTGGTTTTGATGGCCATTAAAATGTCACAGAAAAGTATATCACAAAAGTGTTGCATTTAAAAATATTCTTGTACATTACACAATACATTGGGAGATGATTATTTTGACGATCCCCACATTCCAAAGTTTAGATTTAAAATTGATATAAAATAAATTTATCAAAGTTCACCACTTTACTATCAAATGAGAATATAAAAATCAAGAAAACATTCTGACTGGTCCAGATATTTACAAAGTTGATAGTTATTGAGACATTTATCAATACAAATAACTGTGAAATGGTTTCCAAAAATCTTAACTTTATTTTAATAGCCAAATGTTAAAAATGTCACTCCATACTAAATTTCTTTATAAAAATTGCCAAGGTTGACTTTGATTTTTTACTTCTTTTCTGTTTTTGCACGTTCTGAAATTTTTCCCTTATTTGGTTCCACTCGGTACCTGGCATGTGCTTCATTGCAGCTTGCTAAAATGAGACAACCTTTGTATTATCTAACGGAGGTCTAGCAATTTCTTTGGAATGTGGGGACTTTTTCCCACTCAAAGAGCAGTCCCTCAGTTCTTCCTCAGTGAAGACAAGATGAGCCAGCTCTTTCACACACAGCTGTACATTTGTCTTCCGTAAATGTGAGATGCTGGTCACCAGTGAGTTGACTTGTGAGGTCACTGCTTCACATGGGGCACATGGGGAGGGTGTAACGGCCGACAGTTTTGCTCCTGGACTGGCCAGTGGCGAAGATCGGGGTGAAGATATTGGTGATGCCACAGGAGACACAAGTTGGGCAGATGTGTTCTGCTTCTCTGCCTGAAGCTTCTTGAAGGCTTCCTCAAGATGTCGCACTCTTTCCTTTAGTCTTGAAATGTCTTTGCACCTGTAATTGAAAAGAAAGACATGTTAATACTTTACTTTAAAAAATAGTCAAGTGAAGTATTATTAATTGCTCTTTCATAAATTGAAAGTGTCCTATTTTTGAATAGGACTAAATTAATATACAAGCAGAACTAAAATTGCAAGAAAAGTAAAATTTAAATTCATTCACTTACATTGTTCTTTTGAAGTAATACTGATAAGATAAACACTTAGCATATCATTTTTTCTTTTCTTTCTGAGACAAAGTTTGCTCACATTTTGAACAATTTCCAATGGATGCTTTAGAATCTAGTAGTTGTGACATACACATTTGCCACGATACAATACATATTGTGATACATGCTTTACGATATGATTCCATTACATACGTATCATGATACACATTTCAATGCTGAACATGCCTGTAAGTTGAGAAATAAAATCAAATATGCAAAATTATGCAGTTTGTTTTATGTTTTACATTTACTGTCATGTTCATTACTTCATATCAGTAGGAAAAAATGAACAAGATCTCAATTCTGTTTTATTGTGGATAATTAAAACGAGTTTATAACCAAATATTACGCATCAAAACAGGTAGATTAAATTAATGTAATGTATCGTAAATATATTGATAAATAGAAAACTTAGGGATGTATCGTATCGCATGTTCTTGGATCGTGATACGAATACATATCGATCTAACGTCACAACTCTATTTAGAAGACCATTTCTTTTTCAAAATCTGCATGATCTATTCACTATTTGACATCCCTATTATATTGCTAGTAATTATGCATACTTTTATCCAGGTTTGTTAATGAAAATCAAAATTAATACTTTTAATAGTAAAGCTTCACCTACCGACATTGATATCTACACTTGGAACATTTTCCTGTCATGTCCAGAGATCCTTGAACACCTGAAAACAAAAAAATCCATGAATTCCATTGTAAACAACTGAGTCAGACAACACAAAGGGTTTACTGTAATACCAGGTTCTGCAACATTTTGATATTAAACCAACTGCAATGATAAAAGATAAGTTAAGGACCAAAGTCTCCAACATAAATTTTGAATGCTGAGTTTATAAATTATCTCAGTGCTAACCTATCAGCACTAATATCCAAAATCACTGTGCTGTTTTATTAGTTCATTTAGCCAAATATAATTTTAGCATGCAAGACACTAACAGTACTTTACACAGTGGTGCATTATATGTGATTTTATATACATTTCAGGTCATCATTTCATGATTTGGCTGCGGTTATATTCTGCTACAAAAAGCAGAATCATGGTTTCAAATTACATACATATTCTGTACATCTAAGTTTATAATCAGAGGGACAATTAGATTGCTCCTGATATCTGAATATTGATTTCATTCCACTGACTGTCTCAGGGGTAATTTAAACAAGTATTTGTCACAGAGTGACGAAATATCCCCCGCCTGTACACCATAGTACCAAATATGAAGACAATCCAGCGATTAGTTCTTGAGATATTGTGGCAACACCGTTTTCCAACTCCAAAAACAGATTTGCCTGCTGTGACCTTGAAAATGGGGTCAAGGTCACCAAATCTGACAGGTGTATGCGGTGTCTGTATATACACTATAGTTCCAAATATGAAGACAATCCAGCGATTAGTTCTTGAGATATCGCGGCAACACCGTTTTCCAACTCCAAAAGCAGATTTGCCTGCTGTGACCTTGACAATGGGGTCAAGGTCACCAAAACCGACTGGTGTCTGCGGTGTCTGTATATACACCATAGTTCCAAATATGAAGACAATCCAGTGTTTAGTTCTTGAGATATCGCGGCAACACCGTTTTCCAACTCTAAAAGCAGATTTGCCTGCTGTGACCTTTAAAATGGGATCAAGGTCACCAAAACCGACTGGTGTCTGCGGAGTCTGTATATACACCATAGTTCCAAATATAAAGACAATCCAGTGTTTAGTTCTTGAGATATCGCGGCAACACCGTTTTCCAACTCTAAAAGCAGATTTGTCTGCTGTGACCTTGAAAATGGGATCAAGGTCACCAAAACCGACTGGTGTCTGCGGAGTCTGTATATACACCATAGTTCCAAATATGAAGACAATCCAGTGTTTAGTTCTTGAGATATCGCGGCAACACCGTTTTCCAACTCTAAAAGCAGATTTGTCTGCTGTGACCTTGAAAATGGGATCAAGGTCACCAAAACCGACTGGTGTCTGCGGAGTCTGTATATACACCATAGTTCCAAATATGAAGACAATCCAGTGTTTAGTTCTTGAGATATCGCGGCAACAAACAGGTGGGACGTACGGACGGACGTACGGACGTACAGACGTACGGACGTACGGACGTACGTACGGACGGTCATGAATACTATATCCCCCGCTTCGCGCTTTCGCGCGGCGGGGGATAATTAAAATCTTCTCACCAAATGGAATCATGACTATTGCACAAAATTCGACAATGACAATTACTGTTGCTATTACAGATAAAGATAAGAATAATGTAACTTTTATCTCCTGGTTTCATTAAGTTTAAGAGTTAAAAAGTAGGCAGCAGAATAATTTATTAATTAATTATCAATGGGTTCTCTTGTTCCAAAAGTAGGCAACTAAAACTCATCAAGAAATGACAAGTAGGTAATAATCTGTTTTGCTGGCTGCTTGTGCTTATTGAAGTCGCTGCCCATGGACTGATAATAATACTGAATTTCATTATAATTTTGACTCAACTCACCTTGGGTACTTCCAAGACTTGTTGCATCTTGTGTGTGCGAGTCTGTCATCTAGAAGAAATGAGGTGGAAAGATAAGATACTTGGTATCTTTGCAATAATTTTATTTAAATTAAAGAATTAGTAACTGACCACATTATAGAGAATATAAGACTGTGTGTCGCATTATGTAACAATATCATGATATATCAGATAGTCATTGAAACCGCTTCCCTATTCCAATCCATTATGAACTTAATATAAATTACTGTCAAGTGATGTGTAATTGCCCATTAATTATGATGCAACGATGAACCCACCTAATGCCAGCTACAGACGTAGACTGATTTATAACTGCAGTTAGTGGCAACATCTGGTGTATTTGAAATATTCTCGCCAGAAAATTATCTAAAAATAGTTCCATGGGAATTGTAGCGACACCTGGAATACTGTGTAGTATGATACTAAAAATAACAAATTTGACTTCATCTTTGCAAGCTTTCAAAATCATATAGCTGCCGTATCGGCCATTTTGAATTAATAGATAACAACAAAATAAGCAGTATAGACTTAAAGTTGTTGCCTTCATTATCCTTACAAAGTTTCAATTTCACTGCAGAATTTTCCAAGACAAAATTGGTCCATATTACAATATACATGTGAAATTGTGAGTGCGGCTAAGTACCAAATCATTGTAAAATTTCAAAATACACCGAACAACATCAGATATATGTTGCTTCTCAGTACAAACAAACCATGTATCAAATTACACATTATTTTCTGCAAAAATGGCAAGAAATAGACTTTCCAATATGTTCAATATGGTTGCTATTGGCAACCACTTTTAATTATCTGACTGCAATTATATTCAGCATAGAGCTAAACTGTTGCATCCTTGCAAAGTTTGAGCTTCATAGCATTTTGATAGCTGCAGAAACTTCCAAGAAAATGTACTTAAGGGGCTGCTTATTGGAGCAGGGTGTTTATTATGTTGAATACGGTAGGCGATTTTGAGAGCAAGGCCAAAGTGCAAAGGTCAAAATTACAGAAACCATTTGATATATGTTTAGCCCAACTACTTACTACCCAGATACTAAATTTCACTTCAGTAGCTGCCAAATTAGCAGACTAATGCCCTAGCTTGGATTTTCAATATGGCTGCTGTGGCGGCCATATTGAAAATCGGATCTGAACCTCTTGAATAAATCTAGGTGTCATCATTGCTCGAACATGCATGCCAAGTTCCAGCTCCATTGGCCCAGTAGTTTCGGAGAAACTGTTTAAACACGACAACAGACAAGCAGACCATGGCATAAGCCCACCGGACCTTTGGTCCAGGTGAGCTAGAAAGGGCTAAATGACAATGTAATATTTGTACAACCTCAAGAATTCTTGATATCTTTCTTGAAGGTTCTTGTCCTTCTTGTGACTGGCTTGATTCCTGGGCTTCATTTCTAGAACAGCTCTTTCTTTTGACACTGTCACCTACCAAAGCACACAAAAACATCTAGAAAAGAATTCATGTCATGAATACTCCCCCTTCCCACTTAACACACAACATTTTTCCCAATTCATCTGCCATGGGCCCTTCGTAAAAAATCCTAGATAAATCCCTGTCATAAGAATCATCAGTGAACAGATATTTTTACTAAACAAAACATAAAGAATCACACTGAATATGAAGTATTACATGTATCACTCAACACTGCTCAAAGATGCATCATCACATGATTGTGATAAAACATTATTTGACGAATCTGCAAAATTGTTGATTCTAGTACTGAAGATTGGCAGAGGAAAGCTTTAGAAGGAAGTAATAGGTGTATTATTCTGAGATGACCATCTGCGACCATAATTTCACAGTTTAGAAACAATTTTTTAAACTGGATTGAAGAAAACAAAAAGTCCAAATATTTAAACAAGAAACGTTAAAGCAAAAAATTACATTATTTCTGCAAAATGCTGAAAATTTTACTGAACTGATTGTGTAGATTTAACATTGTTGAATTAATATTATGTACCTTTCTTCACTTGGGTCTTCTTTATCTCCTTAATGCCTTCTACATGTACCACTTGTACACCCTCAGAAGATTCAGGCAACTGAATGTTCTCTTGAAAAAGAAGAAGAAATCAGTTAGAATTTCAAGAATTTACAAGAAAATACTGCCATAATGAATATCATAATAGTAACATTGGTTACTGAAAGGCCTAATTTTAAGAAAAATGACAATTTTGATTTTTTTTAAAAATATCATTGTAAAATTATTATCTTTTAATATTATCAAGTTTAAGCACAAATGGATAAGTTTCGAGGATGTCAAGTAATGACCATGTTAATGGAATACACACCTGCATGGTTGTTTGCCTCCATTTCCTTCCTAATTCTCTCTACTACTGCTTCCGCCTCCTTCGCCAATTGCACTTTGTCATCTTGAAGAGAAAATAAAAGTAGATATAGTTCAAGAAATTTCTTTAAAATCAGACCCTACTTCTATGACATCAGCTTGATCAAATATTTCCTACATAATATGTTACAGCTGATGAACAGCATGCCATTGTTTCACTCGCACCAAAGGGTTTGTATATAAACTGACAAGGTTACAATTTAAAATCCATAGTGAAACGATGTAGGCTTACACCAGTAACAAAAGTGCTATCCTGTAGGCAACCTTTTTCATTTTCTATATCAAATAGCAAGTGATGAATGATTTTTCAAAATATAAATTACAGTAAGTTTTCTTAGATGATTCTACACTTCATGCCAAACATCATCAGCCTACAGATTAAAAATGAAATTCACAGAAATCTAGACATTGCGTCATAGATGATATGCGTGAAAACATCTTACCGAAGTTCAGCTGAATCTAAAATGTTTAAATTATTCCTTTTTTTTGTTAGCCTATTCCATTATTCGGCCCATTATTAAAGCCATGCTGAACGGCTTACAATTCCAAATTTCGACCCCGTATTTCAAGTACATAGAGTAGAATATAAAAACTAGTGAGTTTGTTTTACATACCTGACACCCGAATAATTTCCGCGGGGAAAAGCTTTCCACGATGTTTTGCCTGGACCCTGTCCCCTTGTTGGTATTCCCACGCCTCTCTCCTTGGCACAGTGATTGTGCTTACTGACTGGACGCTGAAAGCATCTTCCAGATACCACAACAAAGCTGCGTACTGTGGTTGCGAAGACATTCTTTCTTTGAGATTCGGGCGCGTTTTAATTGTGAAAATTACGAAATACTTTATCTATATCGTCGTGTCGAGAGCGTCTATGGAACCGCCAAAACTTGAATATACCCGAAGTTGCGCAGGAGACTTTAGGTAATATTAGATCCGTGGTACCGTATCCAGGTTCCAGGGCACTTCTACCTGGAATATTGGCCCTGACATCCGGTTGCCGTTTATCATTTTTTTTCAACAAAAAAGACATAATTTATAAAGTTGTTTCTAAATAAATATTCAAGAGTTATTTCAATACTTTTGATAATGAAATATTGGAATTATTTTGAAGACAAATATATTTTTGACACAACTCTTTACACTGCCTCCGATTGGAATCCTGCAAGTGCTCTGCCAGCGATGCCTCTACTGACCATGCAAGGAACTTTTACCAATCATCGCCCGCCATTTTCGTCGACAAAGAAGAAATCTGAGACGTTTTAGTACACACAAGAAATGCCCCTCATTAAATAGTCTTAGTGACAAGAAGAAATGCGAAAATGCAGCGAAACAAAGATAATTCCTACGTGAAAACGGACGTTGATGGACAAACGAAGTTTCAGTGCTTGTTGTGCAAACGTCTTCTGTCCACTAAACAAAATGTGATATGACACCTGCACACAGCTCATGAACTCAGTAAGTTTTTTTCTTTTAGATCCAGCATGTTTAATTCTGCACACCTAAACCTGGAAGCATTGATTTTCTTTGCCATTGGGGTATGACAGCATTCAAATCTCTTCTGATAAAACTTTTTCGTGAAACCGCATTATCGGTGGTTCAAGAAGGGAGCTAACTCCGTTTGCCTAATCGAAAGTTCGAGGTGGGCCCACATTTGAAAGTTGGTTGGTTGGTTTGTTGTTTAACGCCGCACTCAGCAATATTCCAGCTATATGACGGCGGTCTGTAAATAATCGAGTCTGGACCAGACAATTCAGTGATTGATATCATCAGCATCGATCCACGCAATTGAGATCGATGACATGCATCAACCAAGTCAGCGAGCCTGACCACCCGATCCCGTTAGTCGCCTTTTACGACAAGGCGACTAACGGGATCGGGTGGTCAGGCTCGAAAGTAAACGCATTTGTTGTTGAGAATTTATACTACGTAAACAAACCCGCATAATGAACTCATAATTTGTCTATTTAAAATAAGATGGCAATACAGCAGAACTCACTTCTTCGAACATGGCCAAACTAGGTCGTAGGGTCATTAATATTCATGAGTTATTCCTTTTATGGAACAAGTTCTGGCAAACGATCACTATAAGACGGGAACAATGTGGGCCCACATTTTAGAAAATGGTTATAAGTAAGCCAAGCTAATGAAGCTAGCGATTTTTTAATGTGGTCCCTCCTTTTGTAATCACTATGACGGAAGAACGTCTGCCCACTTGTTTCGATCACCATATATGACGGGAACAATGTGGGCCCACATTTGAGAAAATGATTATCAATATTTAAGTAGAATTTCGCGATTAATAAATGTGGTCCCTCCTGTTGCAATCAATATGACGTAAGAACGTCTGCCCACATTTTTAGGGATTGATTATCAGAACTAACGAAACAAACGAAGCTAGGCGTAATACAAATGTGGGCCCACTTGTTTCGATCACCATAGATGACGGGAAAGATGTGGGCCCACATTTTAGAAAATGGTTATCACCACTAAACCAATCTTAGAAGATGTACGGATGGAAACATAAATATATAATGCATTCAAACATTTAATTACGCATACGTTTTACATTAGGGATAAAGCTGGGCATTTAATAGCTGGACCAACAACGTACAGCGTGGGTGACGCCATAACTTGCAAATACAAAAACAACGGAGATAGCTCCCGTTTGAAATTAGAGTGACCTCCCTTTCCCAATATGAACCACTGATAATGCGGTTTCGCCAAAGTTTTTAAATAACATCTGGCTTATGACATGGTTACAATTTACAAGGCATATCTGAAAAGTTGCCCTCAAAATAAGGGACGCCAGTGATTACAGATAGCCGGAAGTGTCAGGTAACATCGTGTACAGTTGTAAAACAACAGAAATGTTTGATTTTATAATTATTCTGTGTACGTGACTCATCATGCTCATACCTCAAAACAGCAACCATATTTAATAAGTAGGTCTGAATGTACCCATTGGACTGAGTGTGCAGTTTATGTTATTGATTTGGCCGTCAAGTTTTAAACCAGGTGGTCACGAGGGCCTTGGTAAGCAGCAGTGACATGACATTGTACTTTTTAATGTTGTCATTTATAAATACCAAGTAAACATGTACAGGCATAGTTTAAATAATTTTAAATTGCATTTAGTATTTAATCATGTTAGGTCCAGTGAAAAGAATTAAGAAGAGATACTTGGATGATCCAGATGTCGGTGTTCCTCAACGCACAGCAGCAAGATGGAAGAACAAGAACATGCTTGAGGTTTCCCAAGCTTCCACATCGGATGATGTACTTCTTGAATCCAACATTATCTCGGGTGGTGATGTGTTTGATCATATGGATGCACATGATGAAGCTTCAGCATTGACTCAAACGGATTCAGTTGGTATGTTATTGTTTTTACCTGTCAGCTATGTTTGTATGAATTTTTAAATGTAAGTTTTCTGATGGCTTGGATGCATTTGGGAGCCATTCGGAAATATAAATAACTGTCTGATTTAGGCAGCTCTGACAATTCTGTCAGAAGCTTGGTGATTTGTTAATGGTTATAGGAAAGGTCCCTCTGATGCGACCCATATGATAATGGTCTAACTTTGGTGGCTGGACCATCCACATTTAGCATCTTTTGTTGATCTGGTAACAGATGAGATGTATACTTTATGACTCCATTCTTCTCTTATTCAGGTGTTGAACATGATGGACAAGATGAAGCATCAACATTGGCTCAGAGAGTGTCAGTTGGTAAGTTTTTGGAGTATTAGGATTGCAAAGGAAACAATCCAAACTATTTTAAATGTTCTTGTTTATTCTGTAGTAACTCAGCAGCACAGTGCTTCAGGTAATATTTTCAACCAATTGTACTCATTTTCATTAGGTTTGTTTGGTATTTCATAAGGTACTCATTTTGAGCCCAACTGGGCAATGCCCAGGAAGACTTATTCCATATATCACAGATTTATCCATTACATTAACTTCTCAAACAAGACTGACAAGCTAGCGTGTTGACAGGGACGTGCTCTAATAATAGTACAAAACAACTTTGTTACAAAACTGGAATCGTAATCCGAAATGAAATAATCCATCTGTTTGCATTCCTATACAACAACGGTAATTAATTATTGGGGATGCCCGCATACCGGTAAATCACGGTTCATTCTTTCAGTGATACTTTTCACTATACTATTTTTGAAGAGTTGGTATTATCCGTATATCAGATTTAAAAAGATATGAATTTTAATTGACTTGAAAAACACCGTTGAAATGTTATTGATGTATTTCCAAACACAAAGCTGTTTGCTTCAATCGAAGACCATAACAAGTGGTTAGTTTGCATTTACCTCCCTTGTATACATTCGCATAATTTTGTACATGTCCGTGAACCATGGTCGGTAAACATTCGTGTCATCAACATCGCAACAGCGTCATGAAAGGTCGTCAAAAACGAGAAGATAAGGCCAAAGTGTGAGTACACTTTGGCCTTATGCACAATACAATATATCGTGATACGGCCTTGTGTATCGCAGTATATCACAATACGCTTTAGACTTCCAATACCCATCCTTATTAATTAGCAGCCCCGTGGAACGGGGACTGCTTAATAAATGTGTTTGCCTGATTTTGACCGCTGCCGCCGATTCGTCTTTTGGCTATAACTTCATAA